CCGAGGAGTGTTTCGCAAGGAAGCCAAACTATTTGTAAGAAATTATTTTTTTTCTCCGAAAATGGTAATATTCTTTTGTGCATTAACTTTTCTAACAGCTCGTTGAATATTGAGAGAATAGGAATGAATGATAATTATTAAAATTTGTTTGCGCGCCCTTCCTAAAAACAGGGTTAACTTTAGCTATTTTAAAAAGAATCATAGAAAATTCCAGTAGAAAAAGAAGCATTAAATATAATTTCTAGAGGTGCAGATATAACATGTTTGGTAGCTCTTAGAATAGCAACTGGTATGCTGTAAGGCCCAGTAGACTTATTAACATTTAACCTAATCATTTCATTTTCAATTTTAACTGTTGTTGTGGGAAATAGAAAGAAAATATCTTGAGATGGAGCTCTGAGATACTGAACGTGGGATTTATTTACACGAGGAGTATCCTTTGTCAAATTATTTCCAATATTAGCAAAGAAGTTGTGGAAAGCATCAGCCATTGACTTAGGATCATTTAATACAACATCCTCAACAAGTAATCTAGTGGGAGTAGAGCCAGATATGGATTTAAGATTAACAAGTGGTCTTATTCCCTTCCAGACTTTCTTAGAATCAGACATGTTTACATGGAAAGGGTTAATTTAATATGCGTACTCAACTGTACCGCGGGCACGCCAACGCCACGGCTTTGTTCAGTAGTTTAGTGGTCAGTGCACTGGGCTCCGAGTCGGACGACCCGGGTTCTAATCCTGGCCGGGGCAAGGCGTGAGGCGTGCGGGAAAAAAAAATGCGAGCTACGCTTTTAGGCTTGGCTTAATCTATATATTAAACGTTTACAGAGTTATATAAGAGGGATATGAACATCAACTACGCCAGAAATTCTAGTGTAAAGTAGTGTAAACATTGCATTAGGATCAGGATTAGCATGTAATACAACTTCCCAATCAACTGACTGGATATCTTAGATCCGAGCAGATTCATCAAAATTTTATTAATTTCTTTTGTAGATCGTTACATTGATAGGTAAAGAAGTGAATTTTTTTAATAATAAGGAAATAAGGTAGGTGATCAGTAAGATCATAAACAATACTCCCACTTGAGGTGAGGTGTTAGAAAGAATTAAAGAAAATGTTGCCAATTAGATGGAGTGGTCAGTAACTTGAGTAGGTTATAAAATATGACGTTGAAAGCTGAAGGACCCGAAAGTATTTAAAAAATCTTCTGTATCTGAGTGAGAATCCAGTTTCAAAAAGGTCAAGATTAAATTCTCTTAGGATGATGCATAATTTATTCGCTTTATCAATCCTTTCAATAGTAGGATTAAGAAAATCCATAAAGTTTTGCATATTACAATGTGGACGCTGATAAATCACACCACAGATCATGCTACGTTGAGATCCATTTTGCATTTCTACCCATAGTGCTTCAAAGTCATTTGTCGATAATCTAAGATCGGGTCTGGTTGTAAATAAATGATCCTCCTTAATGTAAAAACCAACTCCTCCAGCATTTAAAGGACTGGGTTGAAAAGTGAACAACTAACCTGGCATTTCAATATTGAGTAAAAAAACTTTGGTCAGCTTTAAGCTTAATCTCAAGTATGACTCAGACAGCATATGTTGCAAATTATCAAAGTTAGTTGACAGTCTCCTAGTATTGCAGTGCAAAGCAGAAAAGCATTTGTCAGAAAAATATTCATAGCGCTTCCAGCGCTTCGTCGATCATATATTGCTACAAAAATAGTGTAATGCAATCCACAAGAATTATTAGAGATCCACGAGACTGAGAAAAAAAAAACAAAACCGAAAACGTTCCATATTCCCATGTTTCCCCAATTTGGCGCATTAAGCCGGCACAAAATTTTCAATGTTATTGCAAAGAACAAATCTACTACTATGTTTCATCGTTTATAACCTTATTGATCAAAGAAATGACGTTAATAATGCTGGAAACTTTGCAATGAAACCACGAGGCTGCGCCTCGTGGTTTCACTTTAGTTTTGAAGCACTAACGTTATCTCTATGATCGCTAAGGCTATAGGCAATGGAAGATTGTCATCAATTTGTTAGCTTGCAAATATTGATCTTGCTAGAATCTAAAAGGCGTTTGTTACGGATGACTTAACAGTGGAGGATCGAAAACAGGAATTGACGGTATCTTCAATAACAGCTATAGTCCAGTTTTTAGGTGCCAGGTGCAAGACAAAAAAATCAAAGAAACGCTACGGCCCAGCGCAAACATTTTGACATAAAAATAGTCAGTCGAAAAGCCGCAATGGTTGCCACAGTCTGGGCTGTATGGCTGATCTTCAATTATAATTACACAGCTATAAAACGATTTTAATTTTCGCCATTTGCTTCTGGTGTCACTGGATTCAGTCTTGTGTTAAACATTACATGTATTTCACGATATTTAAGATAATAAGGCGTCACGAACGACAAATTCACGGGCAAAATAAAGTCAACATGGAGATTCACACGCATGACAATGGACGCTGTTCCACGCAACAGCCGCAAACGCTGAACACACGTGAGACGCATACAGCACGAGCTGTGGCTTATATCACGAGTGTGCACGTGATTTTTAATTCGTTACTCATGGCAACCTCCCTGGATGACATGCATACTGATTGAAAAATATGCATTTTATGATCATCACTTATACCCTCTCGTCGAGACTGTGGCATTCCTCAATTCATCCCTAAACCCATTTCTTTACTACTGGTGATGTGAAGACATAGGTAAAAAATCTGGCTTGTTGTAAAAGGAGCAAAATATTTACCTTCCACTAGGTTTCTCAGTCAACGAAGCACCGGACAGAAAAGGTTCACCAGAGACATTTCCTTAAAGAGAGGAAGAACGTCTTTACATCTGTAAACTTAAAATGAATTTTAAGAAGAGTTACACATATCTTCTTGTGCAAGAATATACTACTTAGGATCCTGACTTATTGATCTCTGATAAAAGGCCGCAGCAACTGAAATTTACGGTAGCATCTCCCGCCCATAGGATACAATCCGTATCCTTTGAAAGTTCTGGAACTCGTTTCTCACGTAGGGAATCAAACGGAAATCTTAGTGTTTTTTTTTTTTTTTTTTTTTTGGCAAACAAATCAATTCACTAAGAGTTCGTTTAAAACACATAGTCGGGTACGGGTATGTGCCTGGAGTTCATGGTTACGGGTACTTGCATCAGATCACTCTTTGGCTGATACATGATAGGTGAGGGAACAGGGAACTGGTTAACCGGCTGGAAAACAGCTTGAGGCATGGATGGATATTGCAGGAACGTTCCCAGGATCACTGGATACTGGGGCAAAGGTGGGTATGAGAGTAGCTGGAACTGCTGTACAGTTAGTAAACCTGCTTTCCAATTAAGGTGAGGAGTACCACACTGAGGTAATTGACTTCCAAAAACATTGTTGGAGGCTATGAAGTGTGCAGCAGCTTGGGTCTCATAAGTGGGATTGGTAAGTGTGTTGTACGTCAGAACTGCTGGTGGGTGTTTCTGTCGTTTAGACCTAGGTTCCAGTTCAGGACCGTGTGGTGGGCTGTTGTCATTCTTGGCTAGAGGGTCTTGTCCATTTCCGCTTTTTAATCCGGTTTCTTCCTTCTCTTCTAAAACAGTGCGATCGCTAATTGCTTTCCCTTGATGGGCCCTGCCCGATATTGCATCCTCTGACTGTATCGGTGTAGGCTGTTTCTCTTCAACTTAAGGTTTGGGGAACTCCTCAGTAACCTCTTCTACGGTCTGTCCGGTGTGGGGGTTCCTTAGGGTGATCGTATACTCATCATCACAGCTGGTGCCATCTGATAAGTCTTCGGCCTGTGGCAGAGGTATCTGATGGGCAGTGCTACACTTATCCATTCGGACCCTTCTTCCTCTCTTCTGGTTTTTTGTGCTTGGGATGTTAAAATGAAGATAAGTTCCTATGTAAAGTTCTGTTCCCACCAGTGCCAGCCTCGGGCTTGACTTCAAACACAGGGCTATCTATTCTTCCTTACAGCTTACGATTATGTAAATCTGATCCTCCCAATACGAGCGCAGCTTCCCCGGTCCACCCCGTACGCTAAGATTGCGTACAAGAACTCTTTTGTTAGGCAGCAATACCGAACTTCATGCAAAACGGTCTTAACGTTGTTTGGCTCGTGTGCCTGCTTCACTGGACTTCTTGCCTGCTATTACCCTTAGCAGCAGGTATGTTCAGTTCAATGTAATTCCGAAGTATCTTTAACAACAACACCAGACAAATTCCTCATTAAGAAGTCGTTGGATATTATCGAAACCTGGGCACGGTGTCCCACAGTACATCTACTAAAGACTATTGATCTCTTAACAGTGCAACTTTTCCCCACCAATTCTACCACTGCGGCATGCTGTCGTGGTGTGAGATGACTAACAAAGGTACCATCACTGGGGTCTAGGGTCCAGGGTCCTTGGCTCCACTTTGTCTGACAGGTGTGAAATTGCCGTGTATAGCAATTTGTGGTCTGGCCAGCGTTTCTTTTGACCAACCCGACTACAGTATTTCACTACTTTACATTTTGAATATTGCAAGAACTTTGCTCTCTCCCACTGAACTTGGCCACAGCCACTTCATTGATGGGTCTTGTAGCTGTTACTGTCGACTATCTGTGTCCCGCCTGAATAGTCGCTGGCGTTTTCCCAAACGACTACGGCCCAGATTCCTTCTTCTAGTACACTCGCGAGCAACATGTCCAGAACTACCACAAGCGACACAATAGTCACATTCCTCACTTCTTCCACGCTCTTTACAACTCTGATAATCCCAGCTTGGGGTTCTTTGACTGGTAACCACTTCCATGGCCTCTGTAGGGGGATGGGCCCTACCCTAATTTGGTTTTGCCGCCCGACCGCTTTGAGGTCGTTAATTTCTGATTTCATCTACCGTATTTCAGAGACAATCTTTTGGCTCCCGTCTGAACTTGGGTTCCTGGCTCTCTGTTCCCCTCCATCCTTAGGGACTTCGCAAGCGTTCATTTTGGCCCTTTATTGGTGTTCATTTGCCAATTTTGTGGCTCGTTCATCTTGCTGTGAGGGTAGTGCATTAACTTGTTTCATAAGTTCCTCGTCGGTTAGCTCTGGGGTACGAAGGGTCGTTCTTAAGTTGAATGCTAAGATATCATCATGAAGACCAGATTCGAAGGATTTTACAAATGTCTTCTGAATCAGCGAAAGGCCATAATTAAACCCACGATCCTATTCCTAACTGGCGAAATTTACATTATAACGCAGGCCCAAAGCACGGAGTAGGAATTGCTGTGGTGATTCATTGCTTTGTTGGCATACGGTTGCAAGCTGTCGGTACACCCCAGGTGATGCCGATAGTGGACACGGAGAATTCTCCGTAATTTTGCAAGGGAGAGATCGCTTAAGGTTTCCACATAACTTCTTAGACTACTATGGGGCGATATTGCACATATCACGGCATCCACAATTTCACTTTCTTCATAGCCACGTTTAAGACCAGAGTTTATCTGATACATTAAGGACACAGAAGTCAATTTTTATTTCTGTCCCGGCTCGCCAATCTGTCCAGAAAGTTATATTATCTGCGGAGCAACGATGAGACCGCTTTTGTTTTCGCTACTTCAACCAAAATATCCTCAGCCCCTTGTTCGACTTGTTCCTTTTTTCACTGGGCGCCCATTTTTTCGCTCTTCACTCCGGCAGCTGTTTTTGGTCCTGTCGCCTTAGTTTGTTCGAGAGGAGGTACGAATAGTAGTATGTAATATGCGAGTAGTTGTTCAAGACATCAGTGTGCGACCTTTTCATCGCTTTCTATTTTGCTGCCGACTTCTTTCCTGATAATTTTAACCTTCCGCATTATAGTTTTCCCCGTTACATCGTCCTACATCTCTATATCTTTCACCTGGTCGAAACCGGCACAATAAACTATCGATTGGCTTACTCAAATTTATGCTGTAAATTTAATAAGTAAAATTTTGTTGTATAAGGGATATTTCTCCAAGATGCGTCCTTCTTTTGCTAGTGCATCTTAGCAGCTCCTTCTGCGTATCACATTAGTCGAACTTAGACTGCGGACTGCGTGCGTCGGAGACAATGATAAATTATAGCAGCGAATTCATGTATCACTGAAGAGGCTGTTTCTTTTCTCCAGTCGCATGGAATGAGACTTAGGAAAGGATAGGTAAGCGAAAGAAATTTGCTTAACAGCACGTTTTAGTGCAACTTTACATACACAAACTCGGCTGCCTCACTGATCTTTGTTCGTATCTTATATTGCAGAGAAGGATGGTAACGATGGTCAAGATCTCCGGTTAGTTGGTCAGTTAAAGAAGAGAAATGTTGGGAAAAGCATCCACAAAAATTAGTGAGATTTTCTATATTTTTTTTTGAAAAATATTAGAAACGTATTTACTCGCACCATGCACAAAGCAAAGTAAACCCAATGTTTAAATCTGGTTAATTAAAAAATGAGTGAATTGATATTATTTTGTCAGACAGTTTAATATTTTTGAAAACAAATATTTACCTAGGTTCCTCTTGGATGGCTTTCAAAATTCCAACTACCATGAAGGGTACGAAAGTCTTCTTTGCTTTGTTTTTTTAAGTCTACAACCAGTCCTTATTAATTCATGAATACTGTACTACAGCTGAAGTGCTTAGAGGTATGATTTCTTTTATTGATAAGTACATATATAGTTTGGTGAAAGTATATCATTGATGATCATGGAATCATGATTGTGTTTTTTTCTTTTTATGCACAGCTTGTTTACATATATGGAAACTTTGCAACTGCAAGAAATTACTGTTCTCCAACAGCAAATTAATTTGTGCACTTCTCTGTCTCAGTATAGTTGGATGATGTCCAGGAGGGATATCTCACCACCAGCCCAAAGCACGCCGGGCAGCAGTGGATTGCATAAAGAGGTATTGCAGAGTATCCTTGACTGGCTGGCTGGAGACAATTTTGTGGTGCTGAATCTTAAAAAAAGATGTAGAGTAATCACTCTGACCTTTTAATTTCATGACCTTTGTTCTTGTGTGTTTGTCATCACATATGCATTGAATGAAGTTGTGACTATTTTAAAGGTATGAGTCCAAAAAACTGCTACTTTGGTACAAAAATGAACAGCTAAAATTACTAAGCCCATTTAATTATGAAGTCCAGATACAAAGGTTCAAGTACCTTGGGGATGCATCTAATTTTGCCTTCTTTTTGTTCAGTTTTTTTTGATGTAGCAATTTTTCTAAAATTTCCTATTGTCACACCATTAAATAAATATTGCACATGGAATAGCTGTTTCTTTTCAGATATTTTGGGAGTCATGCATTATTTTTTCTAGCCTTGAAAGGGAGACAAACCGCAAGCATGGAACCAAATTTCCACTTCAATTTCTAGTGTTTAGGCGTATAGTTTTAGAAAAACAAATCATATGTATGTATGCATGTATGTATGTATGTGTTTATGCATGTATGTATGGGTGTATATATATGTGTGTGTATATATATATATATGTGTGTGTGTGTATATATATATATGTGTGTGTGTATATATATATATATATATATATATATATATATATATATATATGAGAGGAAAAAACGACGCAACTACATATTCCGACAAGCCTGTTTCGTGAATCGCTTCACTCTTCAGGGGTTTAATTAAACCCCTGAAGAGTGAAGCGATTCACGAAACAGGCTTGTCGGGATATGTAGTTGCGTCGTTTTTTCCTCTCATAATATTTATTCTGCTCTGCTTCAACGTATTGATCACTGTTCCACGCGAAAATCGACTTGCAGACTTCCTATATATATATATATATATATATATATATATGTATGTATATAATCCGAGAAATGAAATGAAGTGAGGGGAAAGTGACCAAATAAAAATAGCAGACTAGCAGGCAATTTTTACGGGCTACAAGCACTTTTTGCACTTTGGCTTGATTTTAATATGATTGTAATTTTTTTTTATTGCATAGAGTAGCTGATTTTGATTCAGCAATCAGAGATTATGTCCAACACAAATTGTAATTGTTGAAGATCTTCAATACATCGATCTCTTGTCTATAGTAACAGAGGGAAGTGACTCATTTTATATTTTCAATGTTTCTTATAATCAGTCAAAGGTACTTTTGACTTTTTTAGAGCAAGCATTGCTTGAAATTGGGCACAGGCAGACTCTTGTCACTGTTTCCTCCGTTTTCAATGACTTGGCAAATGCCTGAGGTAGTACTTGCTGAAAGTTTATATTTTGATAATATCTAAAGTAGCAATATAAGTGCATGTATTTTCACATCCACTGGAAGATGCTCAATGCTGCTCTAAGGCTCTTTGTTTTTCATATGCACAAATCAAATAAGATCTATATTCTTGTGCGGGAACTGGAGCATTTGTTGCCTTTGTCTTGTTTGATAATTTTCCATTCTTTTAATTAGTCTTCATTATAACCTGCCATACGTTATCACATTTGCTAGGTCATTGAAAAGGTAAGCTTTACTCACAAGTGTCTCTTGGGTGTAATTTCTCGCCATGCTTGCACTGTTAAGAAGTATACTAATTTAGGGAAGAGTTCTATTTTAGAAAATGGTTGAATTAATGCTAAATATGTATGTATGTTCTATTCTTTCACATGATGTTTCAAAGTTTGTCTGTTTGAAAGAAAAAAAAAAGTTTGAAAGTTAAAGTATGTGGTGTATTTTCATTATTTGACGGCATGGGGGGAAATCAGCATGGAGAGGAAAGAACTCTCTACTTCTGAAGTGGTCTCACATTGGAGCTGTATTTACTATTTTTAACGGGGTCATTTGTGAGGGGGCTGAAATTTTGGGGGCCGTTTTGGCCCCTTTAAATTCCAATGTAGCTCCAGTATTTTCCAAATTGGCCCTTCACATAGTCCAATTTGGCCCTCACAATTGGGTCTATTTAGCCCAAAAATTGGTGCCAAAAACAGTCCCATTTCAAAGGGGCCGAACTGACCCAAAGCCAGTACCAAACTAGAAACTAGGCCAAATCAACTCTTCTCATTTTACAATGTAGTTTCAAGGTGTAGATAAACAAACAGAACGAGTCAATCTATCCGTCTCATCGACTCCACAGCGGAGTTATCTTATCTGCCACTATAATTTAACTGCTATATATACTATTACCCTTAGTATCTGACTGCCAATTCCTGTCACAATTCCACGTGGTCATCTCACTCGCTCGCTTAGCACACGCTTCAATTCTTCGCTCAAAATCCACGGATTCTGCTTAACATGACACCAGGAGTTTTCCTACAAACAGCGTGTTCCACCGGGGGTGCGAAATTGTCACCCGTGCCCATAAAATCACATTTAAGACTAATAAAACATAAAAACAGAGTCACAAAACGTACAATACAAATACAAACTTTAAACAGGATCTCAAAATGTGCAACACTAACACAAAACTCTACAACAAAAACATAAAATTAAAACAGAATCACAAAATCCGCAACACTAACACAGAACTCTACAACACAAGCACAAACTTAAAGCAGAATCACAAAAGTCGCAAGTTTGTGTTTGTGTTGTGGAGTTTTGTGTTAGTGTTGCGGATTTTGTGATTCTGTTTCGAGTTTGTGTTTGTGTTGTAGGTTTTGTTACTCTGTTTTGTTCTTACCGGCCACCGTAAAAAAGCACTTCAAAATATGTATTTTTTTCTTTTAACAAAGCTCATACATCGATTTTAAAACTGTCCCGGCTGTAAGTGACCTACGTCACACGTCACGCGTTACGCATTTCCGTTACGATTATTTCCGATTACGTTTATCGCTTGTTTCTACTTCTGTACGCCCCACGGTAGCGCCGATGCAATAGTCAATGTAACGGCCGTAGGGTTCAGGTTTGGAGCCGTGGAATTGACTAAAAAATTGGTATTCGATAAAACCTACGAGTAGACGGCGTAGCTGAGTCCCATTTTAGTACCTATGGCGACGCCATCAGTTTGTTTGTAGTAGTTGCCACCGAATAAAAAGCAATTGAGTTCAAGTGCCAGTTCGGCCAGACGGAGTAGTGTTTCAGAGCTAGGTTCCTTAACAGTGCTTGACAGCATGAAGAGATGTGATATCCATAGTGAAAATAAATTTGTTTCGGCCAAGCAAAATAAAGTCACAAAAAATTTCAAGTGCGTGTTGGCTGTCCTTACTGTAAGATGGTAAAGTTTTGACGATAGGTGCCATTCTTTTGTCTAAATAGCTGGAAAATTAGTTCGGTGGAACAACTGCAGGCAGAAACGGTGAGTCGACCTGAGTTGTTCGGTTAGGTTGGATTTTAGGTAAAAAGTACATACACGGTGTGGTGATGGTGAGATTTTTTTACAGTGGCCGGAAATTCTTGTTTAACTATAAGATCGAGCAACGTATTTTGACAATGTTTTGGTTGATGAAAGTGAGATCTTTGTCCAATTTTTTAAACGTCGGTTTTTACGGAAATTAGAACAAAATTTAACCCCTACAGAGAACTGATTTTTCTGAATCGGAAAGTGATAAATTTTCTGGGATGGTAACTACAGTTTTGAGGATTTCAGGCAATGAGTCCGCGCTAGTAATTTGAGGACCAATAAGTTGGTCGAGTTTTTGGGCCTTTATTTGGTGAAAATGGTTAAAAAGTTTAAAATTGACATCCTGAATTTTGGTGTGAACAGATTGTACTGAAACAGTTGGGCAGATTTTGGAAAATTCAGAGCGGCAATGAAGAATTTGTTCGTTGAGTTCGTTACGCTTTTTTGGTTACAGCCAACAGTTGACTTCCCTCCGTTGTGATTAAATTAATATCTTTGTACGGTTAACTTTTTTACGACCATCGGCAAAATGTTTTGGCTGTTTAACAGGAAACGGTGAAAACCATTGAGGTACCCCTTTACATTGCCGGGAATGCAAACTCAGAACACGGCGAAGCCTGAGAGTATTTATTTACTTAGCAGGAAGAAAAAACAAAATCAGAAAAAACAGCCGAGTGTTAGATAACTAAAACCATAGACATCAACAATAAGCAGTTTTTGGTTTTGAGTTTTGCTCGCATGCAATGTACTGCATTGTCATAATTGATGTTTAAGAAGTTTTTTGATTATTTAATGGCTTGGTCTTGAATACACTATGCGACTCACCAGTTCAGATTACACTCAGATCAGTCCTCTCTCATTTTTCCTAAAATCTGTGTTTGAACTGATGACTTTCAGGGAAGCGCTGTGTGTAGGAAATAGTTCAAAGGCTCTCACCCGCTCCACTAGCTCCCTTGCACTACGTTTCTCATTTAAATCGAAGTAGTTTTTGTTACACTTTACATTTTTCCCGCGAACTGATCCGCTCTCTTATTATTCCCCGTGTTCTATGTCAGTCTTAAATATCAGGCTGTTTCACGAATAAACTGATTCCCTCGCCACAAAAACGTAATCTAGGCATTTACTCAAAGTTACGAAAGTCATCTTTAATGATTATTGTTAGATTTTAAAATCTTGTTATACAATATCATTGGTTGCAAGACGACTCTTCGCATGCCTTCCCATGCCTAATTTTTTTCCAAACGCTTTTCTTGAGTCTTGACTCCTGTTTGTCCTGTTCGTCTATCACCATACCTTAACCACAACCTCACCACAGAGGAACATGATATTCTCTTCATTGAAAAATTGAACTTTCACGTTATAGGTTCGATTCTAATTGATTGAGGAATAAAATGAAAGTACAATGAATACATGCATTGATTTAAGGCCCTCCCTTGTTTTTAGGAAAGAGCAGATCAAACTATGCCCAGCTTGATAAAAATCGTCAAATTGATATTGATAATGATCAACACCATCATCTGTCATGATTGCTTTTGAAAAAGCGCGCAGTCAATGTAATGGTAAAGAAGATAACGAAGAAGGGCTGCTGATGTTAAAAGCTCACAATACTATATTGAAATATACGCACAAAGATGACAAAATGCTCAACTGCAAATCATTTTAATGGGGGAGCGGGTAAGTTTCTGAAGAAACTGTGATGAACTCTTTATGGTAGCCAATTTAAGTTTCCAATTCAGTTGTTAACACTAAATTACCTGCTATACTCTCCCACCGACGCAGCACCACAGTTTCTTTAGAAATTTACCCCCTTTATTCATCTGTGATGCCGCCTCGATGCATGGCTATGTTGGGCTAACAGGAAAATTATCAACTAAACTGATAATGTAAACTGGCAACCATAAAGGGTTTTCAAAGCTAGCGTCTCAATCGCTAGCCCTGGTTCAGAATGAAGGGCTAACTCTCTAGAAACTTTCTTTAAAATCAGTCCATAAAATCAAAATATCAGGAAATCTTTAGGCCTGGATGGTGGCTACAAATTTCATCCTTGAAAAAGCTGAGTTTGAGCCAATAGGACGAGTGCTTACAAGAGAGTTCAGCTTCAGTTTAGTTGAAAAATGCAGTTACATGCGCCTGTGAGGAAGATGTATAAAAATGATATTGGAAAGGACGAAAAATACACCGTTATGATTGACAAGCAAGAACAAATCTAGGGAGAGAGGAAAGACTGAAATGCAGCCGGGGCTATCAGATAGGAATCACAAGCACTGAAACCGGTGAGATGACAGGGCTGCGCTAATTGATCAATTACCTTAAAAACTGGAGGAATGGACGGCAATCTTCCAGATACAGCCAACACTTTGGTTTCTAGAAGACATAATTAAAACAAAAAAAAAGCAAACAAACAACAAGGAAAGTAGCAACTATTATTTAAAATATGAAACACCATGCACCAAGAGCAATAAATAAGATTGATAATTAATCAATAGCGATAGATTGACTGAATTTTTTATCGATATTTTTTGTTTGTTTTGTTTTTCATTTGAGGCTTCCTGTTAGAGATAGTCAAGAAAGCAATTTGGAAAGATCATAGTTCTTAATTCTTAAACACGTTTCTATGTGTTCCATACCATCGGTTAAAAAAAAAATATTTGGAAAAAGAAACTGTTTGAATCTATACCAAAATCGGGAGATATGTATGACAATATACAATCACAGGGATGAATATGCGAAAAACAGTAACCAGTTGTAAACAACTATTAAAGGGAAAATATGATGTTGACACTCGCTGAATTTTTTTATTCAGAAGTATACTGGGCTTTTTTGAGTTGATATGATTATCTTCCTTGAGTTTAAGCTAGCATTTTATGAAGCAGAACCCATAATTTTGATATAATCTGCAAAGCAGGATATTTGATCAGCTTTAATTGTAAATGTTTGAAAAATGTTTTCATTTTTTCTTGCTTCCTTTCTTTCCTCCATTTCTTTCACTCTCTATTTCTTTCTTCCTTTTTTCTTTCCCTTAACGTTCTAGTTTGGAGAGAACTTACCACCAGCAGGTAAGCTGCACAAGTATGGGTGCCTATCGCATATATTGTCGTACCAGCCACTAACAACAACCTTGCCGTCTGAGACCGCTTCGTATTGTAGGGATGCTTCAAGAAAATCTACCGCTATTAGAAGCAAGCACTAGTTAGAACACGGCACAGATCCTAGTGTAATGAAGGATTAATATCTACGGTGTATCAATGGGAGTTGGAAAGGGAAGATTTCAGTCGAAATCGGCAAGTTGACACAGCAATCGTTAAAAGTTTAATAAATACGGAAAAAAAGAAAATTATTTGCGATTAGGGTTAACAACTTTAAGCATTGCAGGATACATGATTGACAATCATTTTAGTACACCTCGGTGTTATACACTGACTTGAAATCTCATTTCCTGAGGCCTTTAGTTTCGAAGGTTTGGAGAACCTCTTACTAGCAATTGCACTCAGCGTTCTCTCGTAACCTCGATTCTCAAATCCTGGATATTTTACAACATACACCCTCGGTCAAATTGATAAGAAAGGGGTTAAATGTTTGGTTTGGTCTTTGAGCAAAGCAGGATGTATATTACTTTGATCTCGAGTGCGGAAAATCTGATTTCCCAAATGGAATAAAACCTTGGAGCGTCGGATTCCGTCGTTCAATGCTCTACGAAAAAAACTCCGTGGTGGATTGTACCCCACTCTAGGTTCAAACGAGACATCGATATACATTTTGCAATTTGTCTTGCATGCCACAAGGATTTGCAATATCGGAAGCCTCGCGTATGTATTCATATCGCCTAATCAAGGAAGACCCTATGCCCAGTTTTTAATCCGTCTAGTGTTCTTTTATAATTCATTCACCTGTCAGCCAAAAAAATTGTAATTATGCCAAATGGATTTTCTGCAAGCCGTGGAATTTCATAATCCTTCTTCCTGGTTTTGCAACAATATCACTTCTAAAAGAAAGTTAACAAAAAATATTAACACCTCCTTGTCAACTTCGACTTACCAGGTGTAAATGTTATATTACCATCAACATAAATTCCAGCAGGAATGAAAGGCCATGGAGAAACTTTAAACGTTGGAGTCTTATCGTACTTTCCTGAAAATAATGCAACAATGGAGCATCACCTTGGTTTACAAAAATAAAAATTGTTTCCAATTGAGTCACTAATATTCGGTTGAATGCGAATTATGATCCGCGGTTCAAATTCGTAAGCGGATATGGACCCCTTTACGCAGATTTCGACCCCTCTTCCAAACTTTTCTTTTAGCATCGTTTGTATCATATTTGGTAACTAATTCAATTTGTAAACTTTTTGTCGATGTGCTTTTCAATCACAACATAACATTTCTCAGTAACGATAAAAATAAACAGCCATTTTTCTCTAATTCCGCCGCATTTATTGTAGCAAATCGCACAGTATACTCAAGAATTAAATGCGAACAAACTACTGCATTTGAACCATTGATATTGTTACAATATATCCTTGCTTCTTCTGATGCGAATCAACATTGATACGAAACGTCATCACAGTTGTAGAGACTATTGCGTCTAGTCTAAGAAAAAACCCTGATTTTGACTCTTATCTCTGATAAGTCTGATTTTTCAATTAAATAACATTAAACAGTTCCTGAACAAGAATGAAGTGACTACTATTACTAAAAGTCGTTCGTAAAGCCTGTTTTAGGTTATTGTAAATCGACTCGACCGAACACTAACTAGACTAAAAAATTTAAAAGGACTGTTAGTTTAACTTATTTTTAATCATTTGGAATACAACAAGCGACACAAACACAACTGGATGTTAATTTTATTGTGTGTTCTCGGCCTACGAACAATAAAAAAAAAATCTCAGTGTAACAGTAATTGATGGAGCAACAGAATTTCAATGTGGAACACGAACAATAGATTCCCGTTTTATCGAGTCTCCATGTGAAATGAAAATCAGTTGGATCTGTTAGCCGATTTGGACCATGGGTCCGAATCTAGGGGGTCCAAATCCGCTAGGACACTGGAACATTCCTGCTACATTCTTCACATCTACTCTAGCGGTAGCAAATTAAAATATCAACTCGCTTGATAAATAACCAAGCATATGATACAAGAAAGATGTTAATAGCATAGAAACGCTTCATTACAGTGGAAATTACAAACAACAAAATGCCGAAGGCGAAGAATCGCACGCGGGTAGTGGGTGGTTGACTCAATGTTCGAACTTTCGGACATTGAGAAAGTAGTAAGTCAGTTGTTAAAAAGAAATTCGACAATTCCTTTTTCTAAGAGGGATTCCCAATTTTCATTTTCCGAGCCATTTCTGGTAACATTCTGTAATTTTTCCTAAACAGTTTTAAGGTCAAATTTGAAAAGAGTAACTTACCGCAGGATGTCCCATTAATGATTTCAAGTCCCAAGCGATATCCCCGTGTTCCACTGATGACAAAAACTAACATGATCAGATTGACAGTTTGTGTCGGTTGTCGGGTCAAAATCATCATTGTCTTCCAAAGCGACAGTTGGGGAGAAAAACACTGTAAATTAAAGGAATTTATTGTGAATTTAACGCGGCCTTTTAGAATGAGTGTTTGATAGCCTCTTCGAGATACTGTTCCAAAAAGTCCATTTAACCAACGCGGAATGTTGGGAGAATACTCGAGATCCCGTTTTGATTTTCTTATTTTACATCTCTTGAGGGTTATCATGCCGGTGCGCGAAAAGAAAGCGCGGTCTGTTGTCTTAATGAGAGAGAGCGTAATATATCCATTAAGAAAAAATGCAAAATTTGAGCTAATTAATTATTGCTAAAAATATTTATGCCATCTTTACGATTCAGTGGATTCTTTTAATTTTCATCGCAAGATCTAGAAGGCGCCAGTTACGCCAGTTAGCACTTGTACGAAAGCTGTTGAGCAGAATTCCCAAAGAGTGAAGTTTCCTATTTCTCAGAATCAACAGTTTCAGCTAGTGCAGAGTATTGCGATTGTTTTGATCTATCACTTTGTGGTCTCCTTTCAATCGAGAGGCAAATTTACATTTCGTCTCGCCAGTGTATTTGTAGCTCTTGTCACAATTTTGGTAGGGAACTTGTAATAAAGATAAGGCAACGAGTCTATTCTTTGCGACTTTCTCCATCGGATTTTGAAGCTACAGGTACCCAAAGTAGCAAGTAAGGGATGGATGAAATGAGCTTTCTGTTCAAACGAATATTTTTTTCCATTCGTGATTTATCAGGTTTTTTGGAGAGTGCTTTATGATCTTCGTCTGAGCTGTTGAAATATGTACCTTCTTATTGATTGTGAATTTTAAGAACGCAAAAATTCAACCACATTGCGAAGTTTAAGTGGTGGGAGGCGAGCAAGAAATGCTCTGTAGACTACCTTTTTATAAAGGAACGTCATATTTCAAGGCTGAGGCTACCCATTATATACGTATATATATATAAATCTTGATTGTAGTCTATCCTTGCGGTATAGTGCTTGATGCGTTCGTGGAGCGTGGTATATCTGAAAGTTGGACAAATCAATAAGACATAACTTTTCCTGTTCTCAAAATGCGTTTTTTCTTTATCACTCAGTGGTGCGGCTTGCTTTGGTACCGTGAACGAAAATGTTTCACCAACCAACTATTCGGAATTACTTTACTGACTTTACTGATTCTCAGCCTAGGTATGTTCTGAGCATGTTCTTAAATTTTTGGCTCATCTTGGCCCGATCATGTGTACGTACGTATTACCAAAACTTCGCAAATATCGTTACCATTACATTATCATGACAAGATTCCTAACTTACCGAGAGAGACGGACCTTCAAATCTGCGCGCAAATAGTCCCAAATGTTTTTGGAACGTAATACTCCTCTGGAGGTTGAAATTTTTCGTCAAAACTTTCGCTTTCGAGATGTGTCGCCGGTTTAAGTACCAATTGCCAAGGGCTCGATACCAAACATTTTTGAAATATTTTGATAAAAGCCTGACCGAAGCAATGATCAGTGACTAAGTCATAAACAGGAAGTAATCTATCACCAAGCAGTGCTGCTAGCAGTGCTAAAGTAGTGTAAAAGAAATGGAGCTTATGTTTCTAATCTTTATAAATTATTTTTGTTAGTCTTTAATCAAGACAACTCGTCTATCTTCCATAATATGTGCGGTCTTGAGAAAAATCGAATTTCAGAGTAGTTGATACTGTTCTCAAACATTGATGAATGAAAATGCTATGACCTTAGAATTTTCTAGGTGCGGATGTGATTTAGACGAAAAGACAGGATTTTCACAACTTAGTGGTCTTTCGTTTCGTAATCTGCCCCCCTGTGCAAGAAATCAATTAAATGATTACCCTAAAGGCAGAGGGTATGACCAGTTTAATATGGCCATATCTGTCTTGTCTTCTTATTTCTTTATCTCATTTTTTTTTACTTTATAGCAGATTGAAGTCAATGACTGCTTTTAAGTAATGTGCATTAATGCTTCAGAGTTTCGAAACTTCTTGTTTCCGGTGAGGTATGTGCCTTTGTCAGCAGTTAACTTTGTGTTACAAATAGATAGTGAGAATGTGTAATTGATAACTGGGAGGTACGGAATGAAACGTTAGTTGTCGGAAGGTTCTAAATTTAAATTCAACGTCGAAGCGCAAGATGTTTATTATCAACCATGTTTTCAAGCCAATATCAACCCTGGAATCACAAATTCTGCGAAATTGGATAACATCGTAGGAGCTGTAAACACAATTGAGCGTGCTAATTATATACGCTTTCGATTCTTTACCATTAAAAATAGAAAATTACATGAATTATAAGAGGACCGTAAGAGGAAGGAAGTTCTGCAACTTTAAAAACATTCTTCAAAGAGTCCGATACTTGGTTGTGAGAGATATTTGGGTGAGTTTATCTGATGGATAAGCTTTTCAACTGCGTGGCAAAATGGTTTTTTCTTCTTAGATCAATGTGTAATTTATTAATTTAAAAAGAAAATGAACTCAGAACTTTCTGTCAGAGAATTATTTGGATAAAACTGATTTATTCCTAGTGAAACAGAGATTATATATGCGCAATACTATAATTATATCTGCTTTCGATCCTTTATTGTTAAAAATAGAAAATGACGAGAATTACAAGAGGACTGTAAGAGGAAGAAAGTTCTGTAACTTTAAAAACATTCTTCGAAGAGTCCGATATTTGGTTGTGAGAGATATTTGGGTGGGTTTACTAGATGGATAAGCTTTTCAACCGCGTAGCAAAATCGTTTTTTCTTCTTAGACCAATGTGCAATTTATTAATTAAAAAGAAAATTATGACCTCACAGCCTCCTGTCAGAGAAATAATTGGATAAAACTGATTTATTCCTGGTGAAAACAGTGATTATATATGCTCAATACTGTAATTATATCCGCTTTCTATCCTTTATTGTTAAAAATAGAAAATGGCAAGAATTACAAGAGGACTATAAGAGAAAGGAAGTTCTGCAACTTCAAAAAACATTCTTCCGATACAAGAGTCCGATACTTGTTGTGAGAGAAAATTGGGTGAGTTTATTAGATGGATAAGCTTTCAAACAGCGTAGAAAAATCTTTTTTTTCTTGTTATTTCAGAAAGACCAATTTGCAATTTTTTGATTTAAGAGAATTATGACCTCACCGCCTCCTGTCAGAGAAATATTTGGATAAAACTGATTTATTCCTAGTGAAAACAGTGATTTTATATGCTCAATACTGTAATTATATCCGCTTTCGATCCTTTATTGTTAAAAATAGAAAATGACATGAATTACAAGAGAACTATAAGAGGAAGGAAGTTCTGCAAATTCAAAAACATTCTTCGAAGAGGTCGATACTTGGTGGTGAGAGATATTTGGGTGAGTTTATTAGATGGATAAGCTTTTCAACAGCGTAGAAAAATCTCTTTTTTCTTCTTATTTCAGAGAGACCAATTTGCAGTTTTTTGATTTTAGAAAATTATGACCTCACAGCCTCCTGTCAGAGAAATATTTGGATAAAACTGATTTACTCCTACTGAAAACAGTGATTACATATGCGAATGTTAATTTATCTACCGGAGAAACATGCCTCGCAACGTAAGCCATGTTGCTTTTGAACGACGGATAAAGGTTTTGAATAAGTCTTTATTTATTAGGTATTTGTGTTTCTAGGAAACCGCTCTGGCCAGGGTAACGATGCTCACTGGTGTGATACAGGTCATCTTGGTCTTGTGGTTTGTAACACCATGTAAGAGTGACGTTTGCAGCCAAAAAATCTGTCAATGTACCAAGTTCGGTAGGACTCACCTAAGAGTAATATGTCGAGTTCGTGGATACATACCGGCCGGAATCCCAAGCAATACAGTAGAACTGTAAGTGATAGAGAAACTTCGTCATCCTTTGTCCTGCAGGGTCTGTTATCGTCTCCTTTGTGTTCATATGTGTTACTATGCTAATAGTTTGTAGACACATCCTAGACGAAGGCAGTTTTAATTTTGCAGACTTGCTTGGGAGTCTTGGTCAGAGCTATAGGAGAAAAAAACCAAAAGCAAAGATGATTTTCGAACAAACAAGGAAAAAGAAAAAAGGAAAAACAAACATACGATTTTAAATTAATCATAAGAAAAGTCACAAGACTGTGAAAACTCAATAATTGGACGCTATGTGTCAATTTAAACTAAAATACTTTTAATTCAGATAGTCGCTTATTGATTCCTTTCGGACCTTACCTCCTCTAGAATTCAATTTTATGATCATTACCATTTCTACTTACAGTTTAATTTTTACTCAGGGATCTTTCAAGTTGTTCGTTGAGCTCAATTACAGAAGACATCTTTAGGAACCTGACTGTTTTAAAGAAATTGTAAGTTGTAATTGAAAGTGAATTAAAAAAAAAACTGTGAGTTCTTAAGAAATGTAAAAGGATATAGTTTCCGTTAATGAGAAATTGGTATTGGATCGACAAGATTTTCTCTTACAGCGAAGCACTTTTTCGTTTTAATAGTTAATAGAAAAAAAATTTAAAAACAAGTCCATTTGACGGAAGTAAGTTTTAAGATTAGTTAGCCAAGCTTATTGTGTCTGTATGTGAGGAAAGTTTGATAGCTGATCAGACAATTCGCACAGTCCAGCCAAACCTCATTAAACTAAAGGAAACAGCGGTCAAGGTAATGCATATATCTGGCACATACAGAAGAAAAATTTATCACGGTTGCGAAAAAGTTTGAAAGATCTCCCCGAGCCACCTTAAAAACGCGAATAAATCAAAGAGTTAACCATCTGATAACAAGTTATATCTGAGTACTCATTGTTGGTTCAATAGTTAAACTATTATCTGTGTGCTGTTTAATTTCGACCGTATTAGCTGATCATTAGGATACTAACATCCTCCCTCTTATTATAACTAAAACAGGAAAGGACCAATAATCCTCTGTAAGGGGAACCTTTGGCTTATGGAAAATTTTATGCTTAATCTTCCGAGAATCAAACAAATTTTTTTTCATGAACTCTCTCTCTCTTTCTAGGGACTTATCAAATAATTTACTGCGACACATTCCTCAAAACACTTTCCGGAAAATGGAGGAACTTAAAGTGATGTAAGGAAATTGCCAATGATTTAATTTAAACAGTTTGCAAAATGTGATTGGTTTCGAGGAAAAAACTGTTGTGTGTTTAGTCGCCTAGTACATCCCTAGCTTCGTTGCAAACTTCAAAAAATATAACTTTTTTGCCAGGTGGGAAGCATTTTTAAGACTCCGATCTCGTGCGACCTTAAGTCGATCGATAGTTTAATAGCTTAATAATTCTCTCCCCCCCCCTTATCTCTATCTCTCTCTCTTTGGTTTTTCCTGCCTTCATTTTATGACATCTGTTATCATTTCTTCCCAGATACCTTTCCAAGAACTCAATTTCAGGGAGTTTTTACCTTCCAGAAAACGTTCATCACCTGTGAGTTTTATTTGATGAAGTGCTTCTCAAATCTGTTTGCCACAGAATCAAAGTACTTCCAGGTTTACTATTAAAATATTGCTTTGAGCTCGTATTCTCCACACATTGTGAATAAAATGATGGTGAGCTGTTTACATGAGATAGATATATGGATGTATTAAACATCGTAGTATAAATGAAGCTGTTATTTTAACCCATTGTCCAACACTTATGAGTTGATTTTAGATATCGTATTTGTTTAGGAAAATCAGTGACAACTTACTATCGTTTGTTGATGTGAAGGTCATTCTCAAAGGATTAACAGGGCTTCACAAACTGTAAGTGTCACCTTTTTAGATGATTTAGAAATCACAAAAAACTATTTTCGAATGCTTTAAGCAGATGATCGTTGGAGATATTCGCTAAATACTCGTTCATCACAGTTCACATTAGTAGTTCATCACAGTTTATAGGTATTAAAATTTCGCACCTAATATCGGCCTATATGGAATCAAAGATAGTTAAAACTTGCTTAAAACGATTTTCTTTTACAGATACCTTGATGGAAATCCGCTTGGACCTTCTCTGCCAGCAGAAATCTTCGCTGGGTTTGAAAATTTGACACATCTGTAAGTCCAGTGGCTCCTCAAATCACCGACTAGTAAGAAGTATCATAAGGAACGTTTGTCTCACGATTTAGTGACATTCGAAGTAATTCCTGGTTCATCTGTGCATAGTTAGTTTAATTCAGACGCCGAAGTCGATTGTTACCTCCTGAAGCATTCTACTCTGCTATAATTCGCTGTGGTACACTGTGATGTGGCAATTCTGCTGTTTTGTTTCTTGATCGTTGCCTACTTTTCTTCTGGAATTTCTGCTGAGTGCAGTCTTATCTGAATCGCCCCTTATACTGTGTGTTTTTAAAATCGGACTCTCAGTTAAGGACTTTTTTTCCTTATCAAATGAATGGTTTTTGCTGACGAGCAGGTGCTCCGTGGGACGTTGAA